TCTTTTAACATATAAATTGTTTGCAGTTATGTTTCAGCGTGGCTTTAAAATAACTGTTCGTACGGGATGAATATAGTTCGTACGAGATGATGATCAGGTACGAAGTCACCTCGTCCCAATGCACATAAGAGTTCGTACGTAACAGTTTTACATTGTTCGTACGTATTAAATCATGATCGTATGGGATGATCATGTACGTACAGAATTAAAAATTAGCTATTTTTTTGATGGTTTTTCATGTCTTTCATATAAAATGTCCTTTATAAACTGCCTTTTAATCTTTTTGGTCATTGATCTTCGTGCTTACTGAAAGAAGTGTGAAGGAGTGAGTGAGAGAGAGTGTTTGAAGGAGAGTTCCTACCATTGGAGTGTGAAGGATTCACTTGGTACTCAAAGGTAAGGATCTCGACTTTGTGAATTGTGATTACTTCACTCTTTTCTCTTATCCTTCTAGATTTCTTTTGAAAAGATCTTTTAAGGAGATCCGGTTCTCTGCCGACACTTGGAGAGTGTGAAAGGACGAAAGGTTCTCTACCTACACTTGGAGAGTGTGAACAGCGAGAGGTACTCTGCTTACACTTGGAGGGTGTAAAAGGATGGAAGGTTCTCTGCCTACACATGGAGAGTGTGAACAGCAGGAGGTTCTCTGCCTACACTTGGAGGGTGTAAAAGGACGACGGTTCTCTGCCGCACCGGGTAGTGGTGGAAGAGAGTTTTGCGAAGGCTTCTCCGCCTTGTTGTGGGGGCAAAAGGAGAGACACTATTGATATTAGTGCAATACTCGGAGGATGCCTCCAGGGAGTGGATGTAGGTCGTGTTTGACCGAACCACTATAAAACTTGTGTCTTTTTATTTTTTGCTATTTTTCTTTTTGTTTACTTTACCTTTTTTCTATTGATCTGTGGTTGAAAAATCTTTTTACAAAAAATCATTAAAGTTTTTATCGGTTTAAAAATTAAAGAGGGAAATTTTTAATTACCAATTTACCCTCCTCTTTGTTAGCCGCTGGGATATAAGTTTAGGTCTGATAACAAGTTTCAACAAGTATTGTACTATAAAAGTGACTCTCCTTTTTCTCCCACAGTAATGTAGAGAAGCCCTCACAAAAACTCCTTTCCACCAACCCAGGCGAGGCAGAGAATCCAACTCCTTTTGCTTCCTCCTAAAGAAGGAAGAGAACCTTGATCGATTACTGAAGCTCACCTCTCTCAACCCTTCCAATGAAAAGAGACTCAAGTGAAAGAAGAAGTGGAACAATGCTTAGAGCAACCCTTGTGAATCCCCCTCACAAGCTCCCCCTAACAAAATCCTCTCTCTCTCTCTCTTCCTCTCCTCTAGGCTTTCTCAGGTCAAGACAGTAGTAAAAGATCTCCTCTAAGTTAAAGCAATAGATCTTAAATATAAAAGCTTTGGAATAGCTCTTATTTTATATAAATCGACTTTATCGTCCAGGCCGATAGGGGTATTGGCTAGGCCGATCAGCGTAAATTTTGCTCAATCAGCTCGGTCGGTTTGGGACGATTAGATTAATTTTGGTCACATCGTCCAGGCCGATAGGATATCATCCTGGCCTTTAGTTCAACTCTGAGCCAAATCATCCTAGACATCGCCCTAAATTGAAGTAGGCCGATGTCAATCGTCCACGCCGTCGTCCCGACTGATCCTGTGATCGGCCCAACTGATGTGATCTAAAACCAGCCTTAATTTCTTTCTTTAATTATCATATCAATTTAGGCCTAATTATACTGCATCGTCTAGGCCTATAGTATATCTTCTTAGCTGATGTCCTAAAATAAAGAATACCTAAATAAATCATGACGGCTGATTCTTTTTGATTTGAGCCTATCATCCTGGCTGATACAATATCGTCTAAGCCGATCGTCATAATGACTGCTGCCTTAACCATGATGCCCTGATTAAGATTTCTATTTTTGAACCGATTGTCCAGGCCAATGTAAGCAAAATCAGAGAACTCTAAATTAAGATAGAAAAAATCACTCAAGTGTGTGTGTAGGGTTACTTAGCATCAGACACCTCAAAGATTACAATTGACTCAAGAAAGGGAAAAAGTACATTTAAAAATTGACTCAGACCTAGTCTACCTAATCTTGAGCTGGTTTCGATTGTCCTCTGATCTTGTGGTCCTAAAATGTCAGTAGGCAAGGCAGCCGTAGAGAAACAAGTGTTTACTATCATCAAAATCATAATCCATGAAAATAGATTCATAATAATCTTCCTTTTTTTACGATGGCAAATAATTCAAAGAAATGAGTAAGTGATCAAAAACCAGAACAAACAATACAAACTTCTCCCCCTTTTATTATAATAAAAGGAGGAGGAAAGTAAAGCAAAAAAGTTATAAAAATGAATTAAAACAATTTTTTTCATCATGGCATGAATATGACATGGTCTCCATGTGATTGATTTTAAAAACTTGTCAGTTAATGAGTTAATAGCGTCAAAAATCCAAAAATGCGATAAAGTATCCGATCATGTTTACCCTTAGCTCAGACTTTTTCACAGGGCAAAATTATCTTTTAAAATCAAAAGACCTAACTTAAAAAATTCAATTGAATATGAAAAGGAGATCTGTTCACTACTTGGTTTCAAAAAAATATCTTATAGAATAATATATCAAAGTAATTTGTCACAATCATAGAGTTTAAAATCAAGCCTTTGAAAATATTAAGTAACCCATGAATTCTTCTAAA